AAGGGACTAAGCATAAACTACAAGAAGACAGGATGCATGGTCATCAGTAAAAAGATGAGCCTAAAATCAAACAGGTGTGGAAATTTAAATATCTGAGAAGTATTCTGACAGAGGACTGTAAGTGCAACATTGAGATCGAAGACGCATTGGGATGGCCAAAGACGCATTCCCATGGCTAGGTAGAGTATTACAAGACAAGATAATTTTGTAAGCAACAAAGAAATGAGTACTGAACTGCTATGTAATATCTGTCCTGCTTTATGTCAACGAATGTTGGACGTTCTCCTCAAAGATGAAGAAGAGACTCAAGACAACGAAGGTATGGTCCTAGAGAAGGATGCTAAGGATACCATGGACTGAACATGTAAGCAATGATGAGGTTTTGGAGAGGATGCAAACAAGGAAGAAACTTATACTTAACATCAGGAAGAGGCAGCTGAAATTTCTGGGACACATATTGAGAAAGACAGCTTGGAGAATCTGATACTCACAGGGCGGATAGAGGGAAAGAGAGACAAGGGAAAGCACCACGTGACATAGTGAGGTTAAGCAAGTGGATGAGAGAACAGTCTCTGGGAGAATTAGCAAAAATCCAAAACATATTGAGAACTACAAGAGATAGTAGAGAGCCATGATCACCTATGTCCTAAAGGAACACAGCACATAAGAGAAGAAAGATTTTTCAGTAAAATGGAACAGAACAATTATTTTGAACTCTAGCTGACTACAAGTGCAATACCTGATGTAAAAATGTTCTAAAATTATATTTTCTAAACCCTTGATTAGTATTGTGTGGTATTGTCACGGCATTAATATGGTGAGCTTTTTCAAACACCTCATATTTACATTCTTTAGTTCTTATTTTTATTGTCATATGTTGTCTTGGGTGATTTCTGGTTCTTAAAGGATGAATAAAATTTAAAAAAAAATGAAACAGTTTTATTTTTAAGAATTAAATTGAAAGGCCAATGAATATGTAACGTCCAAAAGTTCAAACATACAAAAACAGGTTTCCATAAACAAATAAAACTGCCTGTAAATCTTGTGAATATTATGTCTTGAACCAGAAACCCTTTGTCATTACTTGACAGGAGATATTTAAAATAAAACAACTTGACTAATCATGAAAATTTGACTTGCCACTTGCTAAATATTAAGGAGCAACAATTTGTGAGGTGTTTAACGGACTAATGGAAAGTTAAACATGTAGGTGATATTCTTTCTAGTATAAATCGATGTATAAACTTCTCTTTATCTAAATATACATAAAAATGTTACATATTTTACAAAGGAGAACCTTGATCGCAAACATCATTTTATCTTTTAGCAAATTACTTCTAAAAGCAATTTCAGTCACTAACTGGTTTCTTAACCAGACACACAGGGTGTGATTTCCGCTATCTCAAAAATCTCTAGGTCAAGAGGTAGGAACCAGATAAAACCTAGAGAAGCAAATATCAATAAGAAAAAAACCTGGAGTTACAACCACAAGTACTAAATTATACTTGGAATGTAAGTGTGAAAGCAATTGAAAAAACAGCATGAGTAGTAAATCCAATTCTTCATACCACATTGCTTGGTGCGTTCGTTGAGAGAGTGAAGGATGAGAGAAACTCGTTATTCACTCAAAATAAAATAAAGAAAATCAATTGAATTTAGATATCTTCATTGCATAGTGGTCATTGCAAAGGAAAGTGAAAACAGCATGCAGAGTTCAAATTCCAGCCAAGTTCAATGAATTCACTTTTGCACAAACACACTTGGAAAAGTATTATTCCTATATACTCTTGCTCACAGCTATGGGTTAAATAGCAGAGCAGAATGGGCTTTCTTGCCTTGGTTGGAATCCAGTTTAGGAGAAGGACAACTCTAAATTGAAAACTGGTCAGGTATAGAGCTAATCAAGTTAACCCCATGAAACCTACTTGATATTAAAGCCACATCAGTAACAATTAGTGTGGTAAGTCTGTGGCCTTATGATGGCGGAATCGAATTCAGATATATTCACTGGGTGTGGGAGAGATGAGTAGTGTTCAGTTGATACTTAGAAATGTTCATTACAGCTTCCTCCATATATTCACATCATTAAGATTTGGAAGTTGTGATTATTACAATGTTTTAGCTTTTCTCCCCTTGTGCTCTCTGGCCTTCTTCAGGTGGTTGTAAATCTGGGTAACCTTCATGGAATTTCAAACTGAGCCCTCTATTTAATCTTCTCTCAATGTATATATATATATATATATATATATATATATATATACAAAGAATAATCACACATAGAATTAATCAGAAGTATTAATGCGATTATTGGCGACATCCATCGCTAGAAAACATAATATATGCATTAAAATCCTGTTCATCCATAGTGCGAGTTTTGATCCTTGACGAAAAACTTGTTGTCTGTAGTTTTTCAGTTTATTTGATGTTAAAATGCTAGTACTTATGGATAGTCTTCTATCCATCATCAGGCATGTGTTTTTTTTCCTTATAAAATCAAAAACTTGAGACGATATACCTGTATGTCGACCGAAAGATGTTTTTTGAATATCTGCTATTATTGACAACAAGTTTTTCGTCAAGGATCAAAACTCGCACTATGGATGAACAGGATTTTAATGCATATATTATGTTTTCTAGCGATGGATGTCGCCAATAATCGCATTAATACTTCTGATTAATTCTATGTGTGATTATTCTTTGTATGTAAATCATATGCTGCCTAATGTTTTATGTTTATATATAATCCTGTCAAAGAACGAATATTTTCTATGAAAATTTCTCGGACATTCAGGCCGGTAAATGTTATTTAATACTGTTTATCATAAACAGAGCATTTGCTTAAATACTTGTATCTATAAAATAACAACGTTAAACATAAAAAATGTCTTTAATAAATAAATTGTCGGACCTTGTCATTTCTTATATATATATATATATATATGTGTGTATATATATATATATATATATATATATATATACATATATATATATATACATATATATATATATATACATATATATATATATATATATATATATATATATATATATATATATATGCATGTATGTGTATATATATATATATATATATATATATATATATATATATATATATATATATATATATATATATATATATATATATATATATATATAAATTGTGTATTTAGGCAGTAATCCTTCATTTATAGATGTTTCATTAAAGACGACAGACAAGGTACTATGATTAAGTATTTTATTTAATTATTCTTCTGTTTGAACAAGTGTTTTCTTTTCTGCACACAGAGTGTGTAGTAACTGTCCAAATGTTCTATAATTCCAATCGTTTTTGGCTATACTTTTAGCCATTATCAAGGATGGTTTTATTTTTTTCAATAGGGTATGTGGGTTGTGTGTATGATTTTAGTGTTATAAAGATGTTTTATTTTATGAGCACAGCACATTGTGGCTGTGTCCATAGTTAATATTATTAAATGTTGGCTTTTTCTTTATTATTATTAAGGCTTCCATTATTTTTAATCCTTTTTTTTACATATGGATGAGGTTATTATGTTTGTATTTTCTACTAGTATGTTTTGGATGGAGTCTGGTCAGTGTGTGTGTGTGTGTTTAAATAGATTTTAATAGAGCTGTGTTCAGATAGGTGTAACATAAAAAATCTGGATAGGCATGTAGTCATGTAATCAATGTAATTATTTATGAATTTGGTTTATTCAGGAACACGGTTGCTTAAGGGGCATTTGAACTCATAAATAATGTTTGTTCATTGTAATTTTGATTTTACTGTAGATAATTAATATATATATATATATATATATATATATATATATATGAAAATTTAACTTTTGAACAAAAACAATACTTGCCAAAAAATGGCAAAATTAATGAAAAAATGCTCAATCCATTTCTCAAATAAACAGAAATATTGATCAATTTAAGAGAGATGCTTTTATTTATAAGATTTAAATCAATATTAAGGTATTGGACCTTTTTATCTTTACCGTAAAAAGCTTAAATACTATTTTTTCCTTATTCTATCATTCTCTTTGCATTTATCTAACATCACCATTAAGCCATCATCCAATATAGGCAAAGATCTTTAATGTTTATAATTTTATCAAGTTCCATTAATAAACAGAGAACTATTGGATCTGATACCTCTGCACCATCAAACAATCCTTGGGAATCTCAAATTTACTATTTTTTGTATTTTTATGCCAGATATTTTTTATTGTGAAAAACTACTAACTTACAGCAATGCTTAATTTATCCACATGCTTACTTTTCTCATACATAAACTCTTTATCAAACCTGTGCTCCGATATAGATGGATAAAAGTCCTTTCTAAACCTTGCACCACTATCCATTTAATCAAGCTTGTTAGGTGGATAAGTTATGTCCTGTAAGTATCACATTTTCCAAACCCTCTTTCCTCATTGTCTGCCTTAAAAAATTCAACTTTCTCTTCCTGATGTTAAGTATAAGTGTCTTTTTTGTTTCCATTTTCTCTAAAATTTCATCATTGCTCACACGTTCAGTTCATGGTGTTCTCAGCATCCTTCTATAGAACATTTCTGTTGCTTCAAGTTTCATTTTTGAGGAGATTGCTCGGCATTCACTGCCATATAAGAGGATTGATATTACATAGCAATTCAGTACTCTAAGAAATTTTTCTGTTTCTTAATACTTTGCTTAGCTTTTGGAAGGCATCTTTCACTATCCCAATGCATCTTGGGATTTCAGTTTCACACTTTTCATCCTATTTTGATAAAAGTTTTGTGAAAAAAAAACATTCAAATATTCTTATAACTTCTGTAAGCATAATGATGATAATTTTTACTGGGTACATGTGTTTGAGTTGCTGACCCTGTTTTCTGAATTTTATTAACCTTTACAACTCTGCAGGGATATGTGTCCGTTATCAATACTCTTTCTCAATATTCTCTGGGTGGACATATTCACCAAGTGATAGAGCTTTATTTCAAAGGGAAAGTACATTT